AAGATTGTGCTTGCAGCTCGGGCAATTTCACGCTTTGCTTATCAGAAGATCAGCAATGGAGATGTGATCCTGGTATATGGATGGTATGGTTTAGATGCTATGACTGAGAAAACTGAGGGGGTGAAATGACCTGAAGAAGGAACTACCCTTTTTGCCTTTTAGGAATGGGCTGACCATTCCTCCTCTGAATCCTCCTCTCCATTTATTCCAGCTCATCTCTGGTATCACGAATTCTTCAGGAGGCTTGGGCTGAGGGCCGACAATTTCGCGTCGTAGTGGTGGACAGCCGGCCGTGGCTGGAGGGAAAGCACATGCTCCGCTGTCTGGTCCGTGCTGGGGTCCCTGCCTCCTACCTGCTGATTCCTGCAGCCTCCTATGTGCTCCCAGAGGTGGGGACAGAGAAAAGGGACTCCAAAGTTGGAGAAAAAGGGTTTAGTAGTACAGACATCTTCCAAGGGTTACAATCCCATCTTCCAAGGGTTACAGTCATTTAGAAATACTAGAATTGTATAGCCTTGTTTATAGTCAATGTAAAAAACACCTACAGCATGTTGTAATAGTTCAGTTACTAAAGGATGTTATACTAAACTAGCAACACAAGAGAAAATAGGACAAAAGTAACACTAGAGTTTTGTTTTCCTAAACTCTAGCCCTGGGAGGTGCTTTGGGTCAGTCATTGGTCAGGTGTTTTCCAAGAAGAGCCATCATTAAAATTTGTTAGTTACTGTTTTAATATTGCTGTCCTGGGCAGGAGTGGGGAACCTTATTCTGCATTGATCACAGATGACATTTGCCCCCATCTCTCTTTCCCAAAATAGGTTTCTAAGGTGCTGTTGGGAGCTCATGCACTCCTGGCCAATGGATCTGTTATGTCACGGGTAGGGACAGCACAGCTGGCCCTGGTGGCACGAGCCCATAATGTGCCAGTACTGGTCTGCTGTGAAACATACAAGTTCTGTGAGCGTGTGCAGACTGATGCCTTTGTCTCTAATGAGCTAGGTAAGGAGGCCCAGGAGGGCAGAAGAGAAGGTTCTAGGGATGGAGATTTGGGAGAGGGGAGGTTGAACTACAATTTGTTTCCTAAAGGACATAAATGGGTACACCTGCCATTGCAGATGACCCTGACGATCTGCTGTGTAAACGAGGAGAACATGTGGCCCTGGCCAACTGGCAAAACCACCTGTCCCTACGGTTGTTGAATCTGGTCTATGATGTCACTCCTCCAGAGCTTGTAGATCTGGTGATCACAGAGCTTGGGATGATCCCCTGCAGTTCCGTGCCTGTTGTCCTACGAGTCAAGAGTAGTGACCAGTAAGTGGGGAACACAAGGTCAATAAAGGACTTACTCCCTGTACTCAGCAACTCTGCTGCCTTTGTTTCTCTTAGCGTCGCTACCACTTAGGAGTTCAAACTCTCTTAGTACCTGCTACCAACCTCAGACCTTTATGGAGACCTTCTCAGGTGACTAGCTCCATGTTGGTGCTTTAGGGTCAAAGTGAAGGTCAGTGTGGAGACCAAAAACTACCCAAAGTCATCAACCTTTTATCGAGCATCTAATTGCCAGGCACTGAGCTTAGCTATGAGGAGGAATATGAGAACAAGAGTCCTAGCTTTAGTATTATGAGCTAGTATTATTTACATTAAACTAAGTTTTTAATATTAATTAACATATTAATAAATATTTGGTATCCTTCATATTGGGTACTTATTGTGTCAGAAATGGTTCTGATTCCTTCCTTATTCATTTATATTTAATCTAACTCTGTGAAGTGAGATTTCAGAGATGAGGAAACTGAGGCACTGAGAAGTTACTTGCCCCAGATAACACAGTAACTAAACCAGCATGTGATCTCAGGTATTCTGGATCCAGAGACTGTGCCTTTTAACTTTTATGCTCTCTGCCATTAAGGAACATTCATTCATCATGGTAGATGAAGACAGGATCTATAGTATGGGATGAATTCTACCAGTAGTACAGAGTTCCTTGGAAGCAACCATGGATGGTGCCAGGAGATCTAGTTAGGCTGGAGAAGACTTCACAGGTAACATCTGACCTAGTCCTTGCAGAATTAGAAGTTTCTTGGTTGGAAAAGAATGGGAAAGAAGAAATAGTTTGGACACAAAGACAGAATAGACGTTAATATGAGTGGCTAACTCCTGAGTGTCGAGTAGTGTGATGAGGCTAGAACTGAGGCCTCTGTGGAGACTGTGTGACAAAGGGAAAGGTGGGGTTGGATTGGGGCCACATAGAGTCTGACCATTGTGGTTAGCTTTAAACACATCGGTTTTGTGTTTGTATGTGTTTTATAGAAAAATTTCAAGCAGCACAAAAGTAGAGTGATCTATACAAAGAATCCTCATCATCAGAAGCAATAATTGTCCAGATTTGCTACACCTTTCCTTTTTCCCTTACTGAAGTTATTTAGAACAAATCCCAGACATCATTTTACTCCCACAAACTAGTGTCTCTAAAAAATAGTTTACCATATTATACATTTATTAAATTCTGTTATCCAATCTATAATCAAATTTCCTTGTCTCAAAATGAATTACAAAAATTTAAAAAATACTTTATTTATGTTAGAGAGGGTAGGAGAAGGGAGAGAAAAAGAAATATCAGTGTGTGAAGGATACATTGATAGGCTGCTTCTCACAAGGCCCCAGCTGGGGACCTGGCTGCAGCCCAGGCATGTGCCCTGACAGGGAATGGAACCAGTGACCCTTTGGTTCACAGGCCATTCAGTCCACTAAGCCACACCAACCAGGCCTCAAAATGGCTTTTTAAAGTTGGTTTGTATGAATCAGGGCCCAAACAAATCCACACATATTTGGCTACTGTCTTCAATTTCTTGTAATCAGAAGCAGTTTTCCCCAACCCTCTTACTTTGTCACGAGATTGACTTGTTCCAGAAACCAGGTTGACTGTTTCATACTGCCTCACGTCAGGAGGCAAATAATGGTTGCTTATTCCCTTTTTAAGGAGGAGTGGGTCCAGGCATTTTGAAGTTTCCCAACAAAGTTTCATACATTGATGCTTGTTGCCTGATTTATGTTATCAAGGGATGCAAAATGGTGATTTGGTCCTCCTAATTCTATCATTTTTCCCACATTACTAGCGATAATCTTCTATAAAGAACTCCCTCTAGTCAGCTTTTTTCTTTTTGTCGTCAGCTATTCCGAATTACAGTTCCTACTGGGAAGGCAAGATAAATGCTTCTTATCTCTTGCCAGTTTTCAGGAATTGATCACTAGTTACTTGCAGTTTTGTACAATGACTAGTTGACTATTTTTGGCTCTTTTTTATTTTTGAGGCATTTATGTTTTTAAAAATATTTTATTTATTTATTTTTAGAGAGGGGAAGGGAGGGAGAAAGAGAGAAACATCAGTGTGTGGTTGCCTCTCATATGGCCCCCACTGGGGACCTGGCCCGCAACCCAGGCATGTGCCCTGACTAGGAATCGAACCTCTTTTTTTTTTTTTTACATTGAGAATACCACCCAAGCATCAAAATTACACAGAGGTTCAATGGGGTCAGCTCTGTGGGGTTTTTTGGTAAAGATTTTATGTATTTATTTTTACAGAGAAGGGATGGGATAGAAAAAGAGAGGGAAAGAAACATCAGTGTGTGGTTGCCTCTTGGATGCCCCATGCTGAGGACCTGGCCTACAACCCAGGCATGTGCCCTGACTGGGAATTGAACCAGTGATCCTTTGGCTCACACAGTCCAGTGCTCAATCCAGTGAGCCACACCAGCTAGGGCCAGCACTGTGCTTTAGAAAGGTCAACTGGTTGAAATTATAAGCTGAGAAACAGATCAGTTAATAGACTGCCTATCAACCAAAATGACAAGTGCACCTAAATTTTGGTTCAGTAATTCTAGGAATTTATGCCATCCATAGTCACACATTTGAAGTAACAGATACAAGGTGATTGGTGGCAGTGTTGTTTATAATTGCAAAAGACTGAAAATCACCTAAACACCCATTAATATTTTTAAAGATTAAAAAGGGACTAATTAAGCATTCATATAATTAAATACTAAGCAGTCATCTAATTATTAAGCAGTCATACCAAAGAATGGGGTTTTTATGTACAAATTATTTTATGGAATAATCTCTAAGGTACACTCCGTTAAAAGAAGCATTCTTTTAACGAAGTGTGTGTAGTTACTGTTTTAATTGAACAGGGAAAGATATATGTATTTGCACATGTGTATAAATACACGAAATATCTTGGACCTGTAACAAAAAGCCATCTGTGTGGATGTGCTCTGGGAGGCCGGATACTATACCACAGGTGGCAAACACAGGCCTGCAGGCCACATCCAGCCTTCCACCTTGTTTCAGCCTTCCCAGTACCTGGTTTGTACCCAGCAGCAGCGCTGAACTCCTTGCCCCTAGCTAAGCAGCTACATTTATACAGTCCCAAAATTACATTCGGCCCTTTGAAGGCAACTGCAAAGCTGGTGTAGCCCTGGATGAAAATAAGTTTGACACCCCTGCTTTATATCCTTTGTATCTTTAATTTGAGCCTCACGATTATTACAATAAATACAATTAATATAAAAAGGTTTGGCAACTGTTCAAAGTCTAACCTGAGGCAACGGAAATGGAGAGGAGACATATCTGTGCACTACAGAAGCATTTAAGATCTAATGTATTGGGGAACCAAGCCTCAGAAGCACCAACTTTGAGCACAAAAGAGTTGGTCCTAAGCCACAGAGCAGCCTTAGCTTGTCTTTAGGACACTAAGTTGGGGCGGGAGCAGGGGGCGGGGAGAGGGATGGGAGACCCTTATTCTCCATAAAATAAAATAAAAATTAAAATCCCAATAAAAATCTTAGCTAGCTCCTCCAATGTTTTTAAAACGTTTTGTGTAAGCAAAGGAGTTTAATAGGTGAAGTTATTTGGGAAGAGAAAGGTTTTGCTCCACCCTTTCTACGTGTTTGTACAGCCTGAAATCTATTCTTTTGTGGACACACATGAAACAGAGCTTTCAGTGCTTCAGAAAACGGTAGAATTTATTACATTCTTTTTCACACGCATCCCACCTCCCAGCGAGGGAGTGCGACAAAACCCAAGGTCCAAGCCGGAGTCTCACTCGAGTATAGTGTCCCCACGTCAGGTTTTTCTATTCCTGCTCCATCCCTTTCCTGTTCTTTTCCCAAGCCCCCTTTCATGGCGCTAGTGTCTCACGTCCATCCTCCACTTCACTAGTGGTTGGATCTGCGGGAGGGTAGGGGGTGGGGTTGAATGCCCCGCGGCGGAAGCCGGAGTCATCTCCAGGCGGCCCGTCGCGTGGATTCCTTTGTCTCTCAGCCTCTGTCTCCAGTTCGAACGGCGCCAGGCTTGCAGGTAAAGACTCACATCCGGACTAGCCCAGTCCGCCACGAGCCCCGAAATCCTGAAGGAAATTCAGGATTCAGCGTTCCGGAAAAACAGCACGCTAAAGTATTGCGTAGAGACCGCGCACGCGTCAATCTTACCTTCTGGACACTGCAATTCCCATAAGGCCGTGCAGCGTCCTCTGCGCCGCGAAAGGCCAGGAGCATCGCGGGCTTCGAAAGGGTACGGAACTCTCGCCGCACTGCATTATGGAATACCTAGTGAAATAGAAAACGTCTTTGGGCACAAACTTCGGGCCAAGCTCACGTGTTTACCTTGTGCTTGGCGTCGACGGCCGGGGTGGGGCATCAATGAATTGGAGCTGTCGGATTGCGTCATAAAACCGCGACCAGACGGGGGGCGCCATCTTCGAACTTGGACTTCCGGAAGGACTTTGGTTGAGGGTGAGTATACCGCCTTGGGGTGTGCGGGGGGGTCCCGCGATTACTCCTCCTCCTTTTTCTGTAGCGCTAAGATATTGGCTACGCTATTCCGTCTCTGCACAGCATCGCGACCTCCAGCCCCTGGGCTGCTACAGAAACCATCATGCTCCCCACTTCCTTCCCCACAGTGGCAAGAGTGCATCACCCATCTCTGCTAACCAAGGGTCTTGCCTTCTTCCCCCACGCGGTGTCCGTAACACGACATCCTGTGTCCCGGCTTCGGTGCTGCTTACATTAATTATCTCTCACGACTCTGCGAACCTACAGTAAGTCCTCAACCTTAGAAATTCAAGGCTAACCTCAGGCACGGGCTAGTGGTGAAAGCTACTCCCACGCCCAGGACTGAGGGAGGGCAGATGGTCACCCCTATAGTAATTACGGGTCAATCTCCTTGTTCTGCTATGTCCCAGACTCTTCTTCGCTGAGGCTCTTCTAACCCTGGGGGTTGTGCCCCGCGCGCTGCAACCTCATTGGCGCAGTCAAGGGCCAGTTACGTGTTTCCCCGTCTAGCGCTTTAATTCCTTGGCAAGTTGGCTTTCTGCTGGGGAAGGCAGAGGTGACGACTTCAACCCCACTCAGTGATAACTCACTTTGTTAACAGTGGTGTAGGGTATGGCCAAGCCTCTTCGCCCCAGCAGCATATTGTTACACAAACTTGATGGCACATTCCTGTGCCATCCTCAATTTTTGCCATCCGTGTTTACCAACAGTACTATTATTTTCTTAATATGTTTTATCTTAAAAATATTTTATTTATTTTTAGAGAGAGGGAAAGGGAAGGAGAAGGAGAGGGACAGCAAGCTATAGAAGTGAGACAAATACCCATTGGTTGCCTCTTGTGCTCGCCCCGACCAGAGACCCAACTGCAACCCAGGCATGTGCCCTGATGGGAATCAAATTGGTGACCTTTCGTTTTGCAGGAGGATGCTCAACCAACTGAGCCACACTGGTCAGGGCACGAGTTTTCTTTAAATTGATTTGTTTTTAAGTTTAAGTGCTTTAGTCTCCATCTAAGCAACATTAGATGAACCCATGGGTTTCATGGGCTTGTTACAATTTTTTTAAACAAGTTAAAATAAAAACACAGTTAGTTAAATACAGTTGTTAAATTTTGTACTACTAAAATCACCTTGCATACCACCAGTGCCATAGGAATAACTTAGGAAACAGTGTATTAGACAAAGTTTAAAGTGATTTTGTGTTCGGGGAACAGTGTCATCTAATTATTTTCCTTGGCCGGGGTCAGGGGGGCAACTTGGAGTATTCTTGGGAACCAGACAAGTTGGGGTGCAAATGTAAAATTTTATAAACTCCAGTACAGATTTGCTAAATATTTCTTCCTTTACTTGTATCCAAAGTTTGTATTGTGAAATCATAAATGGAAATTAACCACCATACCCTGCTGCTTGCTGCCTTCTATGTGAAGTGAATCTTTGAAAGGGATTTTTGTACCTTGAGGAGTTAGTCATTCAATCAGCATAGTTTAATTATTACACTTACCATGTACTGCAGTTCTGCATACAATAGTGAATCGGATAGGCAAGATCCCTATCGTATGAAACTTTCAGGGATGATAGATAGGAAATAAGTAAATACTCATACCTCTTATCAAAGAAAATTCTAGGCAGACTAAAGAGCTACATGTAAGATTCAAATATAGAAAAAAGTATTAGAAGAAAATATAATAGGATACATGTATGTAAATAGGGTAGAAAATGCCTTTTTAAGACACAAGAAACAAGCTGTAAAAGATAAGATTGATAAGTTTAACTCATAGTATTTAACTTCAGTTTAGAAAGAACATTAGAAACAAAGTTAAAAGTAGGTACAGAGAAAATATTTTCAACATAAACAGCATAACTCCACAGATCAGTAAGCAAAAGATCAATTTGCCCTGTTAGAAATATGGGCAAGTTATAGGTACACACAGTTCATAAAAGACATATAAATCCAACATACAAAAAGAAATTAACTCCAGTTATCAAGTCAATGAAAATAGTTAATCAGACTGGCAAGGGTGTGTTAAAATGGCTAGGTATAGTTCATAGGAATGTATATTTGTTTTTATTTTGGTGAACTGTGTGGCAATATCTGTTAAATTTAAAAATGTCTATACCCTTCAACTCAGTTCAGAATTCCACTTCAGATGCTCATTCTAGAACAATTATTTCTCATTAATGAAGAGATCTGTACTAGAATATGCATTGCATAATTGTTTGCAATAGTATTATAACCCTATTGTGCTTAAATGGAAAATATCTAAGTAAACTATAATTCTGTAGAACACCATATAGTAACCAAGAAGGATGAGATCAATATATGTGTACTGATACAGAGAATCTTGAAGACATATAGTATAGAAGTTCTCTTGGCCTGTCTCCATTTAACTTTCCTATGTTCATTGACATTCTCCATTTCCTTTGTAAAACATACAGATCCCACTGCACACTGAATGGTGGGAGCCACGTAGGGTTTTCTCCTATGGACTTGATTGCTCCATCTCCACTGGTCAAGTTAAATGCTTGCCAAGTCGTTGTATTGGTCCCCAAATCTGTTTATGTCTGTTGGTTTGTCATTATGTTTATATAGTTGTGTTATATATTTAAATTTTAAAGAAATTTGAGTATGAGCCCTGGCTGGCATAGCTTAGTGGATTGAGCGTGGGCCTGTGAACCAGAATATCGAGGTTCGATTCCCAGTCAGGGCACATGCCTGGGTTGCAGGCCAGTTCCCAGCAGGGGATGCATGAGAGGCAACCATACATTGATGATTCTCTCCCACTCTTTCTCCTTCCCTTCCCCTCTCTCAAAAAATAAATAAATAAATAAAATATTTTAAAAAAAGAAATTTGAGTATGAAAGAATATCTATTAAAACTAAGTTGAAACATGGCAGATACACAGATATTTTAGTTGTTCTTTATATTCTACATATATTTAGAAATATTTTGTATCATCTAAAAGTTTTGTAAAACAATTCTAAAAAAGAAAAGAAAGCAAACTAAGTTGAATGCTTTAAAAACACAAGAGATGACTTTGCAAACAGACCAAAAAAAGCTGCCAAATAGATGTGAGAGAGACAATTGTAAAAGATTGAGGAGCATTTGTAAAAAAATCTGAAAGGTTACTGCACTTGAAGTACTTCTCAAGAAAAGAGAATGTTTCAGAAAATAATGGTAAGTAGCCTTGGTGCTGCTGAGAGGTCAAGTTAAACAAGACTGAGAAGTGTCAAGTGCATTAATTGACAGCAGTTACTGATGACTTTAGCTTCCAAAATGAGGCAATATCCTAGTTAAGAGGAAGCAGGGTAATTGAAATGTAATGGCAGATAACTCTAAAAAATTTGACCGTGAGAGGGAGGAGGGAGATGTTAGTTAGAGGAGGAATATGGGTTGAAGGATAGTTGTATGTGTGTTAAGATGAGTATTGTAAACATATTTAAATGCTCTTTGGAAGGAGCCCATGAAAAGGAAAAGAATAAATGACTTGTTTCCATTAGGGGTGGGGGGAGGATGAGGCTTCGCACTAGTGGAAGGTGTGGCCTTAAAAAGTGGACGAGGGGGCATTTCAGAAGCAAAGAGGATTAGGCTACTTGACAGGAAATCTAAGTATTTCCCATCTAATGGCTTTGGGTTTTATTTCAGAATCCAGAGGCAGAGTCTCCTGCTGAGAACCAGGGGATCTGACAGAAGAGAGAGGAGGTGAGATGACTGAGAGAAAGTGTGACTGCCAGCCCCCGGGCGTCTTAGATACACTCAATGGAGAAGATTGGTGATTGGTTCATCCAGGGCTCGAATTTTGCCAGAACTGTGGACTTCTGGATGCAAAAGAAAGAAAGGAAGTTCATAATGGCAAAAAGAGTCTGATTAAAATAAAGAAGTCTAAGCTAGACTGCACGTGGTTGCCATAGGGAGATACTGGAGAGATCACTGGATAGTGGTTAGATATGGTTGAAGAACAGATACAATGGCAGTACGTGAGTCACCTAGCTGTAATGATGGGCGGTTGTGATCAGAATGATGGCTGTCCTAGTGGTTTTGGAGGTTAAAAGGTTTTATGTGATGACAAGGTCCAGAGTGTGACAACGGAGTGATAAGCAGTGCTTTAGCTGAATGTTACAAGCTTCAGAGAAACAAGGTTTTTATAAGAGAAGAAGGACTATTTGTTAAGAGTGGCATTGGAGAGGAATTGAGAAGACACCGATCCTACTTTCTACCCTGGGGTAGGTGGGATGTGAGAGAATGAGCACCCAGAAAGCTAGAAATTTTATTCCTGGAAATTTACCACCTGAGATTCTGAATATGATTTGTCTTGTTGATCAAACATGCTCTTGGAGAACTCAAATTTGGACCTGAGATTAAAGAGGAGAGAGGCAGGCCAGCAGGTATGCATTTTGCTTGTGCAGATTCTGGTGATTAAATGGTTCTGGATTTGGGAGCCAGAGAAGGGTCTTCACCATTTACTTGGTCACTTTCCGTTTGCAGGGGCAGCTTGGTTGTGGGCCCATCAGCTATGGCAGGGCTTCTTGATTCAGCAAGTGGGTCCCCATCATGACATAGGAGAGGCCATGTGTTTCTTGAATCGGCAGCTGTAAAACAGCTGTCCAATTTGACAAGCCCTTATTCCTAAATTTATTTTTCCTCCCAACTCTCCCAATGATCTTCTGTGCAGGTGATTCTAAAAACTTGAATGTGCATTAGAATCTCTTGAAGGGCTTGTTATATAGTGTGGCCCCCAGGTCCCAGAGTTTC